ACCCTGGCTGATCTCACGAGCCCGTTCGCGCCGATTTTGGTGGGACGTCTCAGCTAAAATTGCCGTTTGGCCTCCCCAACATGTCTCTCTTGAGAGCCTCATGGTCACAAAACGCTGCCAGGGGCATCATTTGGGAGCCCCAAGGGGGAGCCACCCTGGCTGATCTCACGAGCCCGTTCGCGCCGATTTTGGTGGGACGTCTCAGCTAGAATTGCCGTTTGGCCTCCCCAACATGTCTCTCTTGAGAGCCTCATGGTCACAAAACGCTGCCAGGGGCATCATTTGGGAGCCCCAAGGGGGAGCCACCCTGGCTGATCTCACGAGCCCGTTCGCGCCGATTTTGGTGGGACGTCTCAGCTAAAATTGCCGTTTGGCCTCCCCAACATGTCTCTCTTGAGAGCCTCATGGTCACAAAACGCTGCCAGGGGCATCATTTGGGAGCCCCAAGGGGGAGCCACCCTGGCTGATCTCACGAGCCCGTGACGAGAGAGAAAGAGAGAGAGAGAGAGAGAGAGAGCGCAAGAGAGAGAGAGAGAGAGAGAGAGGAAGCGAGAGAGAGGGAGAGGAAAGAGAGAGAGAGAGAGAGAGAGAGAGAGAGAGAGAGAGAGGTGGAGTTGAGAGGAAGACAGGCGAGAGAAGGAGAGAAGAAAGAAGAGAGAGAGAGAGAGAGAGCGGATAGAAGATAGAAGAGAGATGAGAGAGAGAAGAGGAGATGAGATAGAAGAGAGAGAGAGAGAGAGGAGAGAGAGAGAGAGAGAGAGAGGAAAGTGGAGAGAGAGTGGGGGGGGGGGGGGGGGGGGGGGGGGGAAGAGAGAGAGGAGAGAGAGAGAGAGAGAGCGAGAGAGAGAGAGGGAGAGAGAGAAAGAGAGAGATAGAGAGAGAGGGATATATATACAGAGAGAGAGAGAGAGAGAGAGAGAGAGAGAGAGAGAGAGAGAGAGAGAGAGAGAGAGAGAGAGAGAGAGAGAGAGAGAGAGAGAGAAAGAGAGAGAGAGAGAGAAAGCGAGAGAGAGCGACAGAGAGCGAGAGAGAGCAAGAGAGAGCGAGAGAGCGAAAGGGGGGAGAGAGAGAACCACAGAGAGAAGAGAGATAGAGGAGATAGAAATAGAGCAGAAGAGAAGAGAAGAGAAGAGAAAGAGAGAAGCGAGAGGAGTAGAGAGGGAGATGAGAGAGAGAGAGAGAGCGAGAGAGAATAGAGAGCAGAGAGAGAGGATAGAGTAGCGAGAGAGGCAGAAGATAGAAAAAGAGGCAAGAGGAAGGGCAAAACAAGAGAGAGGCAGAGACGAGAGAGGCATAGTCGTAGTCCAAAGGCATATGCGAAGGCAAAAGAGAGATGGAGAGTCCTGGACACGAGGTTCCAATATACATGAGCGGGTGAGAGAGAGAGAGAGAGAGACAGAGAGAGCAGAGAGAGCAGAGAGAGAGGCAGCTCAGTCACACTTAAATTCAGATTCGTCCTCACCGAGTCCCACCACCAAGGGAGCGCCAGCAAGGAGATGCACATATGGGGATCCCCACGCAGTGAATAATTGTCCAAGTTGTCCGAGCGTTCTGAGAAGCAGCGTGCCAACCTGGATCAGATTGCGTGGATCTCTGAGGGGCTCCTCCCCCCCCCCCCACACACACACTTCGATGCTGATTCGCACTGTTCTGTCCCCCCGGACCTGGGGTGCTCGCTGGATGCCAACATTGAAACGTAGGGCGCGGGGATTGCTCGGCAAGGTAGCGTTGCAATGTAGGTGCAGCCGCACGCCGTCAGGAACAACTTGCACAACTTGCACTTGTAGGCTTGCCGCCGCTGTGTTTCCGCCACACTTTGGCAGGACTGGCCGCCCTGCTTTTCAGGGGCGGAGCGCTTCCCGCTCTACTTGTTCGCATCGCTTGGGGCGCGCTTCCGACACAGCTTTCGAAGCGGGGAAGTCGACCGAAGCACCGCGGATCCGGAGCCTGGGCAGGGGGGCGTCCTCGGGCTCCCAGGCGTGGTCCCTCTCTGGGCCAGTGGAGTTCCCCCGCCCCCCGCCGCTGGCAGGCGCCACTGCACGGCGTCCACAGAGCCATCCTCCATGCGGTGGGGACGTTCGTGGAGGAATGCTCCCGAGAGGCTGCGCAGGCCCTGGGGGGTCGCGTATCCACTGGGGGCGGTGGTGATATCCATGGCCGCTCCACGCTTGGAGTTGCGCCTGGCTTATCCCGACCCCGGGATGCCTCACCGAAGGTTTCCTTATATCTCATGCCCCCACCGTGTTGGAGACGTGCGCAGGCTGCCATTTCGGCCGCCTCACACCAGCTTGGGGATGTCGTGGTCGGCGAGCTGGATGCTCAGCGCCCTCTGTGCTAGGATTGGGTTAGGGCGTGTCCCTCTGCAGGAGGAATGTTCAAACATAGTTTTACAAATAATCTGGGGACGATTTCCTGGCTACTTTTGACCATTTGGGGGTATGTCCCGAATATGTGTTCATTTGTCGCCCAGAATCCGCCTGTAGGAAGACCTGCCCGACCTACTGCCAGGACCGCGCTCGGGCCCTCGCGAGAGCAGCACCTTTAGGGGCGGGTACGGTAGGTTCGTGTCGTGTCGACCGGCGACGACTCCGTCAGCGGCGTTCAGCTTTGAACGTCGCGGGCCACCCAAAACCGTTCGATGTGGAACGATCTGGACGTTTCGGGAACGACCGATCGTTCAAGGTAGAACGATCCCCGGGGCGTCAGAAACCAACGCCGAAGTCGGCACGACACGAACTTGACGTACAATAGCGCATTCGAAGCGGAACGATTTTTGGACGTTTCGGAAGCGAACGATCGTTCAAGGTAGAACGATCCCCGCGGCGTCAGAAACCAACGCCGAAGTCGATGTGGAACGATTTTTGGACGTTTCGGAAACGACCGATCGCTCAAGGTTGAGCGATCCCCGCGGTGTCAGAAACCAACGCCGAAGTCGGCGCGACACGAATCTGACGTACAATACCGTGGTTCTCGGAAAATGCGCCCATCTCGAATACGCGTTGAAGCGGGTTCAATCCCCCGGCCCCAATTTCAAATTTCGGGGCGGTCGACCGCGGCTTGCTCCCTCAGGTGAACGTTGAAACTGGGGGCGCGGGGGGCGCTGTACTTGGGGCGTTTTTGCGAAAAAAGCCGCTAGCGCCGGCAGGCCCTGCGCTCTCCGGCGAGGGCCTCGCGCTCGCCGCAGCCCCACGTCTCGCTTTCTTGTGGGGGCGGCGCGCGGGGGGGGGGAGCCTGGGCAGCAGGGGCCCAGCGGCGGGGCCGCGGGAGAAGTCGAAGAACAAGGAACGGCACAGGATCAAGTCGGGCCTGCCCCTCCACAGGAGGGATATTCCAGAGTGGTCCAAAAACAGTCGGGGGACGATCTTTTGAGCATGTTTTTTTCTATGTTTGAGTATTTGTGGGGTATGTTCTATTTTTCGTCCAAAATCCCCCCTGTAGGGGGACATGCCCGACCTAAGCATGGACATTAGCTGTCGGCGGTCTGCGCGGATCTCGTGGATCTGCGCCGGGGCCCCCGCGGCGGCGCCTCCGGCGCCGCCCCTGGCGCTCTCCGCGCGCCAGGGAGAGCGCAGGTGGGCAGGTTGCCCGTTTCGATGGTCCTCGGGGCCTGGTGTTCGCCCAGGCGTGTGGGCTTGCAGTGCCCACTTCGGCCCCGCAGACAGCGCCGTAGCCTCGCGCAGCCCGTGCTGGCCCCCGTTGCACCGCCTGTGTCGTTTTGAAGGGCTTCGGTGGACAAGCACAGGTTGGCGCGGACATCCGCGGACGACTTGTGCGTACGGCACCGCGTTGGCCTCTCCCGAGGCGCAGTCGATCCTCGACCCAGGACTGGCACGGTGCGTAGTTTTCCAGCCCCCAGGGCAGCAGAAACTATGCATCTTACCGCGTTGGAGCGGGGCCTGAAGGGAGTTATTGTGCATAGGCGCCGCTCTCGTGTCCAGCGCGGGCGGGCGCGCGCGGGCACGGGGCCAGCGCGTGGTGCGCGGCACTGCGCGCCGTCTACGGGCGGGGGCCGCCGAGGCCAGGGCCACGAGTGGCCGTGCTGGCTGGGCGAGCGGCGGCGGGAGCCTGGAGCACCCCCCCGAGCCGATCCCCTCGGAAGTTGCCCGTGAAGACGTGGGGGAGGAGGCGGAGGGGGAGGCGGAGGAGGAGGCGGAGGAGGAGGAGGAGGAGGAGGAGGAGGAGGAGGAGCGGAGAGGAGGGGGAGGAGGGGGAGAGGAGGGGAGGAGGAGGAGGAGGAGGAGGGAGGAGGATGAGGAGTGAGGAGGAGGAGGAGGAGGAGGAGGAGGAGGAGGAGGAGAGCGGAGGAAGGGGAGGGGGAGGTGAGGAGGAGGGAAGGAGGGGGAGGAGAGAGGAGGAAGGAGGAGGAGAGGAGAGAGGAAAGTGAGGGAGCAGTGAGTTAGATAGTGAGGAGGAGGAGGAGGAGAGGAGGAGGAGGAGGAGGGTAGGAAGGAAGGGGAGGAGGAGAGGGCAAGGAGGTAGGGAGCGGAGGACGGGGGAGACGGAGGAGGCGGAGGGGGAGGCGCAGGAGGAAAGGGAGAAGGGGAGGAGGAGGGGGAGGAGGAGGCGGAGGAGGAGGATGAGGAGGAGGAGGAGGAGGAGGGGGAGGCGGAGGGGGAGGCGGAGGAGGAGGAGGATGAGGAGGAGGAGGAGGCGGAGGAGGAGGAGGGGGGGATGAGGATTATGATGATGATGATGATGATGATGATGATGCTGATGCTGATGCTGATGCTGATGCTGATGCTAATGCGGATGCTGATGCTGATGATGATGATGATGATGATGAT